TGCCTTGGTCTTTCCATGATACGCAATTGGGAGATCGATTATTCTTGCTCAAATTTCAAAAAGTGTAGAGCTCAATGGACGATGGTTTGGTGTATCCATCATACAGAGCGATGATCATCGGGTTCCCCCTAAAGTGCCATGAGCCACCTTGGGTAACCTTCGCTCAATCACCCAAGTAGTTAAACTGCATGTGGAACAAGCTTTCCTCGAGGGTTTTGATCTTGGTCGGCCTTGCCAGATCCCAGGCTGTTCGCATATTGCGAAAGAACCAATATGTGTTGAAGCTTTTCTCCATATGAACATGAACCAAGATCATCCAGCGTAGATCATATTGTGACCAACTTCCACAGCTGCATCCCCACTCTTTGCGCCATCGGGTTGCTTGGGCTACTGCGGAGACACTTCACTGGCACTGGTTGTAGCGGTTGTTGTAGTCCCATGAATGCCATCCGGTTGCTTAGACAGCTGCGGAAACAATTTAGAGTTATGCAGCATGGAGCTCTTTGTGCTTGTTGTATATGACACGAAGATGTGGGGGCAGCTGCAATGCATAGAAACAAAAAGAGAGAATGGGAAAAGGAAACATTAGTTGTTAGGTAAGTAGTTTTGACAAGGCAGTCAACCAAATGATACGATATGAAAAAAAAAGAGCCGGTTATATGGCTCTCACCTCTAACTCCTCAAATGTAGGCAATGCGTGGAGCCACTCCTCCAGAGAGCTGTACACATCATCACCATCCTCCATCTTATCCGGAGGTGCCTCGTGCACATTCTCTGCTATGCCATCGGTACCCTCCATGCCACCCTTAGATGGTTCTCGAGAGCCCACATTGGCTCCCCCTTGTGGATTGGCTTGTGTGTGGGAGCTCTCAGGCACATCCAGAGTGGGTGTTGCGGCCGCAACAGCTCCACCTTGGTCATTTATTTTCGGCGGCTCCTCTGGACATTGCCTTGGATTGATCTTTGGGCAAGTTGATCTACATATATGACATAAACTTTGATGTTGCGTAAGGTGTACCGAAGCTGAACTGCATTCAGAAAACAAAACACATTAAAAACAGGGTACAAGAATTCAAAGTTGCAAAAGAGAACAAAAGGTAGTGTGTCCGATTTGAAAAAAGAATACTTACAGGGCGCTTTCCGAAGCCATGGTCTAGGATGTCGACTGCAACAACAACAGTGAAGTCCATGTCTTGAAGAAAACAAGCTCATGGCAGCGAGTAGTCGATGGGATGATCAACAATGCATCATCTTGGGATGTCGAGGTGGTCCATGTAAATAACCTACAAAAAAAGACACATAAGCCGCTGTAAAGGTTTGCTATCCCGGAAAAAAATATGGGGTTGTTACGGGAATGAAGGGCTGTACCGGAAGCATTGGTAGACAACCGCCAATCAGGAATTTCACTTTACCGTCATTACTCTTATCCTGATATTTTTTTAACTTCTCTCATCACATCAGACAAAATATGCTCGTCCCAGTCGAACTCATGGACGACACTCATGTCTCGTAAGGTGTGGAGATAGTCTAGAGGCACCATGTTTCCTGTCCCATGACCTGTTAATGGTCTCCTCATCGTCATCATCCGCTTTTAATATAACAGCTACTGTGGTGGCTATTGTAGCCCTTTCACCATCCAAATGAACGTCGCGGAATTTTGCTTTCCCCCTCTTGCCGAATTCTAGCGATTTGCTACCAGATGGGACATTGAATATCTTCTTAACCATGTGTCTTGTGAAGGGGGTCTTCTTGCGATCATTTAACCTGTGGGGCACAAAAACATATAAAATCAGTAGATGTTGCGAAGATAAAAAATAAGAAAAGCATGTTACGCACACACAGAGAAAGAGGTAAAAAACAGAAGAAAAAAACATACTTGAGCAGACACTTCTTAGTGTCAATCCTCATAACTATGAAATCTAGAAGCGCTTCCGGAGGAGGAACCAGAGGAGATATGTGAAGCAAATCACCGAAAGTGGACTTGCTTATTACACCCCTCTTCTTCCCTTTGATGGCATTGGCTATCTTGCGTAGCCGCTTTGCCGACCATCGAGTTTGGTAGGCGCATATGCTGCGAAAACAAATAAAAATGAAAAAAAAAGATGCGATGAGCATGCATATCTAGTGATGTAGTAAAATGAAAAATATTGAAACTATTGCAGAGATATGCAAGATTCAGAAACATTAGTTAATTCAAGCAAGCCTGACTAATTTCAGACAAAACATAAGCAGGCCTGACTAGTTTCAGAAACATTACCCTGTCCATATGAGCTACAGGAAAAAAATACAAAACCAAAAATTCAGAAGAAAAAACATGAAGCTACTTCAAGCAAAAGTCCAGCTAATTTCAGAAGCATAAGCTTTCCCTGTGCTATAAGCTACAAGAAATGCAGTACAAAATTCATGTAGCTCTTAAAAATTCTGTAGCATATAGACTAAAAAAGGCAGTATGGGCTACAAAAGCTATGACCTACAAAGGTAGTATCAGTTACAAAAACTATGAGCTACAGAAATTCAGAAATAAGATAATTTTGCAACACATGAATGACTGCATGATTTGCAGGGATCCAGTGCAAAAATTCAGCTCCAATTATTCTGAAAATACTGACTAATTTCAGTAATTCCTGCAGCACATAAGTCCAATTATTCTAGCAAAAAAATGTTATGGGAACATCCCACTCCAAAATTCCTGCAGCACATCAAAACAGCGCGACCTCTGCTACCCATGTGCAAAAAATTCAGAAACCCTGCGACACACTCTGCCGCTCACCCTTCTCTCTAAAACACAACTTCTCCTCTCGTACTACTTCTCTGAAGCAAAATTTCCTCTCTCGTACGCCATCGTCGAATCATCACCGCAAGGGAGAGCGCCATCGCTAAAAATGCCGCGTAGGCGCCGGCGTAGCGGCCGGAAGACGCAGAGGAGAAATAGTAGGCACCACCATCGCCACATCGGCCAGAAAGTGAGGGAAGGAATCTCTTATCCGTACCTGCTTGAGTCGTCGCCGGCCTCCGCCGATCCTGAGCCAGTCGTCCATGCCAGCACGTTGGATAGGCCCCGATCGCCCAACGCCTTGCGCCGTCGCCCTCCCAAATCCAGCCGCTCCCACTCTCAGGCACACGAGCCCACGCCACTGCGGGAATGGTTTGTCCTGAAAGGTGACTTGCAGGAAACAAATGCACCTCCAGCGGATACGGGAGTGCTCTCGACGGTTTGATCGAACATATATCAGACGGCCACAGAGCCAGCGGGCGGGTGCGCGCGATCGGCCGGCAAAAAGCTTTTCTGATATAATATCAGTGACTCCCTTGCAAAGTTTTTCTTTGGAAATTTAAATATATGACGGCCTGTGGATGCAAAGCCGACTCGGCGATGGAGTCGTAGTTTCAACGCAGAAACAGTAGGACAGTCCACAGAGTATGATGTCCTACTTCTATGTCGATGTGCGTATATGTTGGTGTCATAGCCCCTCCCAAAGAACTGTTAGAGCATCTCTAGCAGACCCCGCAAAAAGTCTCGACCTGTAAAATAACCGTCAAAATGCGGGTCGGTGCGGAAAATCCAGCCCGAACAAACTCTGCAAACGCGGCCGGCCGCAAATTTTTTTCAATGGTGCAGCAAAAACTTGACCC